GCAATGCCTGGAAGATAGAGGCTCCCAAATGCTGGGTCAATAAATGAAAGAACATAAGAAGGTAGAAGCAAGAGATAACAATGTGGAGATTGTTAGAGGTCAGGTCATGTAATGCCAAGGAACTTTAACCTTGAAGCATAGTGTAGAGCCAAGAGGAGTGGGTGGGATTTAATTCACCTGAAGAAGTAGAGAGTTTTCTAAATGACTTTAGTGCTACTTGCATGTAAGGAACAAGGTTTCATAGTAAAGGGATCATTTTTTTCAATAACCTGTGGAACATGGTACAGACCCTCAGGCCACGACCCAAACAAAATTCAGCAGAACGAGAAGACTGAAATGAGCTTAGGTTCCCTGGGGATATTGATGGGGTGTCATTGATCCTTTTGTTTCCAAACTTATTGGCACACAGTCAGCCCTCAATATACTCAACAGGCCTGTGAGAGGAAGCATAGAGCAGCACTGATACCTATGACAAGCAAGAGGCACAGTAACACAAAGATCAAGGCAACGTGTGAGGCTGGGACATTCACTGTTCCTTCTCCCATGTGGTCCAAGAACAGCATGTTCATGAATGAATGAATTTTCCTTTCCCTGCAATAAAGTTTCAGTAAGCAAGGATTTATGTCACCTTAGTTTCTGATTCTCCAGAAAAGAAATTTAATCAGTCTTATTAATACAAATGAAATTCTCTGTCAAGTTATCATACTTCGGGGGCGCCTGGGTGGCTCAGTGGGTTAAGCCTCTACCTTCAGCTCTGGTCATGATCTCAGGGTCCTGGGATCAAGGCCCGCATAGAGCTCTCTGCTCAGCGGGGAGCCTGCTTCCCCTCCTCTCTCTCTCTGCCTGCTTCTCTGCCTACTTGTGATCTCTGTCAAATAAATAAATAAAATCTATAAAAAAAAAGTTATCATACTTCATCAGGGTTCCACTGATTCCTGATAGAATTAAATCACATGGAGCTATTGGTCAGTATGGGTCATTGGATTGGCTGGGGATGATGTCCATTGCTTGTCAAGTAAGAGATATTTTAATAGGTGACTGGCAGTTGCTTATTAGACTGAGATTTCTAGGTAACAGTAATACTGCCTACAAATAAATACAAAGTTCTCTTGATAATTACCTCTTAGTTCTTTATCATTATTCTCACCATTGTTATCACATCATTACTTTAAAACCATTCCTTTCTGCTTTCACCTACTAAATCACTCAGTGAATTCTATGGAGGTCAGTTCTCAGGGTGAGAGGGAGGGAGGGAGGAAAGAAGGAAGGAAAGAAGCTCCTTCATGGGAGCTAAGCTAAGAGACTGTTGACCAACAGTGAAAGCTTCACTCCCTCCTACATGAGGAATTGAGTTCCAGGGTAAAGGGATCATTCTTTTCATCCTTCTGAGAATCTCTTAAAACCTGGACAGAGTCTTTCTTCTCTTTCCTCTCTCTTCTCCCTAGCTCTCTCACCTCTTCTTACTGTATTAATTAGGAGAAACACATATCTCTCAATATCTCTTAATATCCAAAGATTACTTATGACTAGTCATTCTATCCCTCTGTACATTTTTTGTCTTGCCTTATTTTTAAAAGGATATGAGGTTTGTCTCCCCCTCTGACTTCTCCCAACTCACTTCTCCTCTCCTTCTCCCAATGTCCTCCATGTTATTCCTTATGCTCCACAAGTAAGTGAAACCATATGATAATTGACTCTCTCTGCTTGACTTATTTCACTCAGCATAATCTCCTCCAGTCCCATCCATTTGATACAAAAGTTGGATATTCATCCTTTCTGATGGACGCTTAATACTCCATTGTATATATGGACCGTATCTTCTTAACCCACTTGTCTGTGCATAAACAATGAATCTTGGAACCCTGAAAAAATAAAATGAATTTAAAAAATAAAAATAAAACAATGACAACAAAAAAATAAACTAAAATAAAAGGATATGAAGTAACTTTAAAAAAATAATAATACAAAAATTTTAAAATAGGTTACTGCTTCTTCGTTACTGGCATAGAGAAATGCAACATATTTCTGTATGGTTGATTTTATATCCTGCAGCATTGCCAAATTCGTGTATTAGTTCTAGCAATTTTTTGGTGGAGTCTTTTGGGTTTTTTACATAGAGTATCATTTCTGCACATAGTGGAAGTTTGACTTCTTTCTTGCCAATTTGGATGCCTTTTATTTCTTTTTGTTGTCTGATTGGTGAGGGTAAGTCTTCCAATACTATGTTAAATAGCAATGGTTAGAGTAGATTTTGCAATGATGTGAATGGAACTAGAGTGTATTATGCTAATCAAAATAAGTCAGTCAGAGAAAGACCATACGTTTGTACTCATATGTGGAATTTAAGAAACAAAACAGATGAACATATGGAAAGGGGAAAAAAGAGAGAGGAGGAAAATAAACCATAAGAGACTCGTAACTATAGATAACAAACTGAGGGTTGCTGGAGGGATGTGGATGGGGGGATGGGCCAAATGGGTGATGGGCATTAAGAAGGGCACTGGTGTTGAGCACTGGATGTTATATGTAAGTTATGAATCACTATAAATTCTACTCCTGAAACCAATATTATACTATATGTTAATGAACTAGAATTTAAATAAAACTTGAAAAATAAATAAAATAGGTTAGTGAAGGAATTGCTGCAGATAAGGACAAAGATAAAGCCATCTCAATAAGAGAAATAAAATTCAGATTCACTCTGTGATCCAGTGACGGTGTTCTGTTCCACACGGTCATTCAAGAACCCAGGCTTCTAGCAGGTCTGTCACCTTTAGGTTGTGATTTATAAGTCCCCCTGCTTCATAGTATCAGATAGCATATGAGGGAAGGTCATGGAGGATCTTACATGGAAGGTTTTATACATCAGGTCTTGAAATGACAACCATTACTCCCACTCATGTTCCATTGGCTTAGACTTCATACACGGCCACACCTAATCAACCACACCTACCCAACCACTAACCAGGCTAAGAGATGTAGTTCATCTGTACCAGAGAGAAGACTGGGTTTGGTGACAAGCTGATAGTCTGACATGCTGACCTATATTCTCACTAAATTGTGGGGCTAAGAGCAATATTTCTCTCTTTCCTTCATCCCCAATTCTCAAATACACTGAGCCTCAATAAGTATTTGTTGGATAAATGAAGCTGTGCATATTCAGTATTTAAAACATTTTATCTGCCATCCTGATGCTGGTTGCCCATTTTAGTTCCTCATACAGCACCATCTGAGGCAGCCTCTAATGCATCTCCCCATGTCTGACTGTATTCTGGGAGCTCAGGTAAAGTGTGTCTTTGATGCCCATTAGCAGCCTGCATTGCAAAATGATTATTGTTGATCATTTCTGTAAGTCACTTATAGATGATTGGCATAAACCATCATGCCAATTTATTTATATATCCTACATATATTTTTTTCAGAGATTTGATTATCCTTTTTTTTTTTTTTTAATTTAAGCATGTCATTTTCCAGAACTGAGATACCTGGGAAGGTGGGATCCCATTCATTACTAACTCAAGCATACAGGGAGTGAGCATACTATCATACTATAAGGATATTATTAAGAATATCAGATACAGTATACAGTATTCTTCTTCAAAAGACGAGAGAAGGGGTGTCTAGGTGGCTTAGTCAGTAAGTGTCTTCCTTCAGCTCAGGTTATGATCCCAGGGTCCTGGGATTGAGCCCTGCCTTGGGCTTCCTGCTCAGTGGGAAGCCTGCTTTTCCCTCTCCCTCTGCCCCTCTCTACTGCTTGTTCTTGTGCTCTCTCTCTCTCTCTCTCTCAAATAAATAAATAAATAAATAAAATATTTTTAAAATATTTTTTAAAAAAGACTGAGGAGAAATTTGTTGTTAATCACAATAAAAAGAAGGCTGTGTGTCTCTTGAAAATTGGCTGGTTTTATCCTATGATAGCCATTAATGGCTTAACATTTTTTAACATCGTTACCAGAAAGTTCCGACTAAATGTGGGACCCATATCTGTTAAGAGTACAGGACATGGGGCACCTGGATGGCTCAGGGGGTTAAGCCTCTGCCTTTGGCTCAGGTCATGATCTCAGGGTCCTGGGATTGAGCCCCACATTGGGCTCTCTGCTCCGCAGGGAGCCTGCTTCCCCCTCTCTCTCTGCCTGCCTCTCTGCCTACTTGTGCTCTCTCTCTCTCTCTCTCTGTCAAATAAATAAATAAATAAAAATCTTTAAAAAAAAAAAAGAGTACAGGACATCAAGAAATGGATTTTGTGTACTATCCCCACCCCCAGATTTTGACAGGGATCAACATACTTTTTCTATTTTCCTTGCCTTTAGTTTCCCTTTCTATCTACTCCTGTTATCTTCTTGAATTGAGTATTTATGGAAGTGACCTTAAATATATTTGTTTTCCAAGAGATATGACCATGTTTTCAATGGAGTGTATTGGGTATTTTTCTTTTTCAATCTGCCTTGCTTCAACCCTAGGGATATTTTCAAAGGAATATGAATTAGTCCTTCATTTTGGGAGGAAGAGGGAGAGAGGAGAAGAATGGAAAATGATGGACTAGAAAGATGGAGATGCTTTTGAAAGCTAAGAACTGCAGTAGATAAGTAACCATATTGCACATATGAAAATGTTATGTACAATTGTGAAAACTCACTGCAAGGTAAGTTCAATGAGAGTGAGGACCTTGTCTTCATTGTTGTGTGTAGACTGGAGTCCTGCACAGAGTAGACACTAACACAACATATTTTGAAAGTGTGAATGTGATATACTTGGAATTAGGAGAGCTGAGTTAATATCATATAAATGATATTGAATATTGGCTATGGTGCCACAAGCATATGCCTTTTGGAATCAGTTTCATAAAATGAAGCCATTAGACTATGTATTCACCAACGTTCTTTCCTTCTCTAATGTTCTATGCTCTACATGCCACCCTTGTTAGTTACAGCAGCATATTAAACATGGGAATGTAAACACCATGTTTGGTGTTTCATTTGGGAATTTTCTTTTCAAAATAGGATATCCAGCTATATCTTCCATAGCCGTTGGAGAAGTGGATACCTCAACTCCAAATACCACCCCTCAAAGTGAGTATAGTGACTGAAAAGAAACAAAACACAAGCTTTACTACAGCTCTGACAACACTGAGGTTTTGGCAAAAGGCTATATTTTTCATTTGATGTTGGTATTTTGGTTTTGTGTTGCTCTGTGGCAAATTGTAATCTAAATGGTGGCTATACATTGACATGACAATCAGTATAATCTTTAAAATATGGGTTGGTGAAATATTATACTATACTTTTCATTTCTCATGGAATTTTAAGATAACATGAAAGTAGTCTTGACAGTACTCCCAGTGATCTGAATTGGCGACAAGAACAGAAAAAGAAAGAAAAGCAGTGACAAGTTGGCATTAAACATAAACTACAGAGCTTTCGCTTAATATGCCAGCTGTGTTCCTGTGTAGGAAAGCATATTTTCAACTTCAGATTTCCCCAAAGTCACAAAGATTAAAAATTCAGCACATCAAAGTAAAGTTAAATTAGAGCTGTATAAAAAGGCTGGATTCCGAGAATTTTGTCTTTCAGCCAGCAATTCCAGTGTGACTACTCAAGGCTTCAACTACTCCTGGACCCCTAGCGGGCAAGATACCAAAAACTGTAAGTGTAACCATGAGTCCCTCGGGGTCTTCTGGGCCTCATTAATTCATCCAACATGTGTAATGAACAACTACGACGTGCTCTGCTCATAATCATATTAACAAATACTTACAAAATGTCTACTGTGTTTGAAGCATTGTTGTAGTTGCTGGGGATACATTTGTGAACAAAAACAGATCCAAAAACAGTTCCAAATTCTGGGGGAAGAGAGACAGGCAAATGGTGATGAGTGATAGGGAATAAAGCAAGCAGTGAAGGGAGGCATTGAAGATCTGGTGGGAGAGTGGGTTGCCATTTTCAATAGGGGGTTTTGCAAGGCCTTCCTGAGGAAGGTGACATCTGAGTAAAGATATAACTCATGGGGATGGAAGGGCTAACTGAGGAAAGAGTGAGCTAGCCAGAATACACACGTCACTGAAAGAAGTGAGAAGAGGGAGCCCCGTGTGAGGCACCGAGCTGGGGTGGCCATTTAATCCGGCCACCCTGCAGCTGCGTGTGCTGATACCGCATTAGCAGGTATCCACAGCATCTGAAGGGAAAGTCTACTGCCTCTTAGTGGTACAAGACGGAGATCTGCATGGTAGGGAAGTGGCAAGGGATGTGGCTGCCGCTAAGATCCCAGACGCTGCTAGTGCAGAACTCTGGGCTTAGCTGCTAGGCCCTTAGCCACGAAGAGTAAATCCATGTGTCTCTTTTAGGAAAGCATTTCAGTTGTACATTTAAAACCTCTGAAAGTCTTTTATACCTGCTGGCTCAGTCATCTTACTTCCGGGAATGTGTCCTTAGGAAGTAAATCAAATAGCAAAGAGGAACATGTATCATATTGCTCTTTGTAGCATTAGTTATTTATTTTATCTCTTTTATGAACCTCAAGTTCACAGATCTGGATTAATCATAATCCTTAATTCATGACACACTTTGACCATTTGTGTATGACCCTCTGAAATTTAATTTAACATATTTCTTTTAACAAATATGCTAATAATATAAAAGACACCTGTGAATTCAGTGCCCAAATATAAGAGATGAAAAGGGGAGTATCAGAAGAGAGAGCACACCCAGAGAGCCACAAATAAGCATAACCTAGAGATGCCAGAGGTGGCATGGCAGATTCCTGTGAAAAGAAGAGGCAGTCAGCAAATAGATCTGCAAAACTTGATTATTTACAAGAAAAAAAGTATTAAAATGTATGCCTGCCATGCACATTACGTAAAAATAGGCTTCATAGAGTATGAGATCTTTTTGTCAAAAGCAAAACATTAAAGTATGTAATAAAATAAAGGTGAATTTCTTTCTGGCTGTGAGGTGAGGAAGGGTTTAAAGAAGAGAAATAAAGCACTAACCATAAAAATGGTGGAAACAGTAGAATACCATGAAGTTAAGAAAATTCTATCAAAAGACACCTTAGCAGAAGTTAAAAAGAAAAGGCAAGCTATATAGTGTAGAAGATATTTGCAACAGATGTAATTGAAAAATGATCAAATATATAATTGACAGAGAATCAAAACTTTATATCAAGGGTATATAAAGAGTGGCTAAAATCAATTTTTAAAAATATAAAAACATTAGAAAATGAGCAGAGAAGAACATCACAAAAGATGTAATAACATCCAAGGAGATGCTTAGTCTTTCTGGCAATCAGGAAATGCAAATGAAGATGAGAATCAGATAACCGTTTCACATATAATCAATCAGCAAAAATTAACAAGTCTGGAATTGTCAAGTGTTAGATAGGATATAGATCAATATAATGTTTTATATGTTGCTGGTGAAAGTACAATTTAGTACCATCACTTTCCACCATTTTGACATGGTGTTGTTGTGTGTGTGGTTTTTTAAATTTTATTTTATCTATTTATTTGACAGAGAGAAATCACAAGTAGGCAGAGAGGCAGGCAGAGAGAGAGGGGGGAAGCAGGCTCCCTGCTGAGGAGAGAGCATCATGTGGGGCTCGATCCCAGGACCCTGAGATCTACCTGAGCCGAAGGCAGAGGCTTAACCCACTGAGCCACCCAGGCGCCCCTTGACATGGTGTTTTAATGCCAAACAATTTCATACCCTACAACCCAACAATTCCATTCTTAGATTTATACTCCACTGCTCTATATATACTAATAATATATGTAACCAGGAGATATGCACACAAATGTCAGGGGAAAACACTATTCATAATAGTAAAAACTCTAAATAATCTAAATCATCATAGCCAAGAGAATAGGTAAATAAATTATTGCATAGTCATATAATATTATAGAGCAAAGAGAAATGAATGAATGACAGCCATATACAACAGTATGAATGGATCTTAATAAGATTGTCTTGAGTCAGAAAAGTAAATGCCATGTGACAATATATGAAATTATATATATATATATATATATATATATATATATATATATATATATTTAAAGATTTTATTTATTTATTTAGAGAGAGCACAAGGTTTGGGGGGAGGACCAGAGGGAGAAGGAGAGAGAATCTCAAGCAGACTCCACTGAGAGAGGACCCCAACATGGGGCTCCTTTGAGAGCCAGATGCTTAACTGACTGAGCCACACAGGGACCCCTGGAATGATATTTTTAAACAAATATTAAAGCAAGTACAACCAAACACCATATGGCTTAGGCATAATATGTGATAGAAACTAGAAAACTATATAAATGATGGAATAATAGACACATTCAGAAGAGCATTTGCTTTGGAATGGGCATACAAGGGATGAGCCATGTGTTAGAAGTTAAAATGTCAGAAGACATAATGTTACTTACAGTAATCCAGTAGTCTGTGTGTAAGAGTGGGGGTGAGAGGGTGTTAAAGAAAAATATATCCAATAACAAGAGAATGTAAAATAGGATGAGATAGTAATTCAATGCAATATTATGAAGTCAATCCAAACAATAGCCATAATGTACTAAGCTAGCCAGTACGTCTTATTGTATAGACAAGGTTACTGGCTAGAAAATTTTCACCCATCAGATATAAATTGAAAATAAAAATATTATATAGATGGGGGATGAAAGTCCATACTTAATACACTAACATTTATCCTATATGGTGTTAACATAAAATTAAGTTTGTAATGAACTCTGCTGAAACTCTCCTTTACCTACACTGGTTTACCATTCTTTATTCTCAATGGTATAACACAAGTTAAGTTCCTTATCTTTTTTGTTGTTGCTTACCTGTATCCCCAGTGCCTGTGGTAATGTCTGGCATATAGTTGGTGCTCCACAAATATTGCTGAGTAGATAAATGAATCAATACTTGTTGGTTATGAAGGGAAATTATGTAGCAATGGTGATAAAAGATTATTGGAGGGGCACCTAGGTGGCTCAGTCAGTTAAGCACTGACTCACTCTTGATTTTGGCTCAGGTCATGATCTCAGGGCTGTGAGATCCAGCCCTGTGTTAGGCTCTGTGATCAGTGTGGAGTCTGCTTGTCCCTTTCCCTCTGCTTCTCCCACCTCTCTCTCTCTAAATAAATGCATAAATAAAATCTTTTAAAAATAAAAGATTATTGAACAATATTATAGGATAAAGTGGAACTGAAATTTAAATTTATGCTATGATTATATATAATCCCATATTTTCATTCTCAGCATAATACTTGGTGTCTAATGATTTCCTTTATTTTATTTATTTGATTTTTTTTTTGTTGACATTATACTGAAATCTAAGATACATAAGAAAAGGAACCCTAAACCTTTTCCTGTCTCATTCACTATAATATCATAATGCCTGTAGCAGTGGCAGGCATACAGTAGGTGCTCAGCAAATATTTCTTGAATAATTGAAAGAATATGTGTACATATGGACAGGGACAAGGAAGAAAACACACACAAACATACACAGTGAAAAGAAATGATCTGCTTAAATAAAATTTTTGAACCGTTTGTTTGCTTTATTTAAATTGTTATTACAATAATATGTGTGCCCAGAATAAAAAAAGAAATCCTGTTTATCCCACGCATCATGTCATTATGAAGCAAAGAGGCTACCCAAAATATTTTCTGCCCTAGAAACTGGAAAACTGAAAGGTCTTGCATGAAAGTGCTTTATAATTTACACAAGTATTTTCTTGGTCTTTTTAGTAGATTTCATAATGAAATGAACTATGCAATTCCTCACATCTTCTGTCCTCCCCACTTGAAAACTTCATTTATCCTCAGACATCTCTCTATCATTCCTACCACGAAATAGATTTAGAAATTGTGAAATCTAGGAAGAGACTCTAAAACCCAACAAACAAAATTTTCCTCACCATGAAAACTCACATTCTTACTTATGCAAATAAGAATATCTTGTTTACTAGTTGCCATTTTTTATCCATAAGCTTAAAGAAAAAATTCCCTGCAGTGAGTTGCTCTATTTATAATCATTCACAAAAACACATTTGGATTCAACAAGTTAATATTGATTGCTCACTCCCAAACTATTTTTGAAACATGTTTCTACTCGTTGGATTGGACTATAATGTGACATCCAATATTAGGTGATGCATTTGGCAAGATTCATGACAGGCATTGGTAATGGGATTTTTTTTTCCTTCCAGTATGTTCATTTCAAGAGATTTATGAAATGTTCACAGACAGAAAAAGAATGATAATGGATGGATTTCTGGTGAAATAAACCCACTAGCAGTGTTTCTAAAGCTCTTCCTATTTGTGAGCACATTCTAATGGGATATTTGCTTTTACATGCATTTTGTGTAGCTCACATATATTTGGATGTCACTAGAAGATTCTGGGTGCATTGCATTTCTATTAAATTTATAAGTATGCATTTTAATATATTCTTTTCTTGTCATTTTATCAAATTTAGAATATTAGCATCTAATCCTAGTTCAGCTTCCAAGTTTCCAACTGCCTGGAACAGAAATGTATATTTTACTTTAACCACCTATGAAATGGGGTTATCAACTCTGACCATCTAAATACCTCAAGTGTATAAGGCTAATAACATCCTGGATGTTCTCATCCTGACATTCAGGTGATCAAGCCATGGAGCAGAAAAGGGAAGCTTATTTACTTTTCTCTTTGTTTTTCCCTGCCATCCATCCGGTCCACTGGAGCCTAAAGCCACATTGAAATCAGTCAGTCTGGCTAAGTTAGAGGAGCAGAAAAATGAAATGATTCTCCATAGGCCCCTATGCCTCCAATTTGCCCCATTACCAAAATCAACAAGCTTATCATTACCTCACCACGTGTGCCCATGCACGTGTGCACTGTGCGCGTGCACGTGTGCGTGCATACACACACACACACACACACACACACCTGGGACCTCATAGTACCTCTTAAAAACCTCACATAGGGTCTCTATTTTATTCTTTGACCATACATTCCTATTCTTCAAAATTTATGTACCCTTCTTCATAAATTTTGCAATTGTATTTTTTACCCTGTCCTTGGTCCTGGTTGGATCTTCTCAGGCTCTTGGTAGCTCTGCCTAATAATTTCATAGCAACCCATTCTACTTTCCATAGGGAGAAGGGATGGAGAGGCTGGAGTTGAGGGGTTGAGAGTCAATTACAGGGACATAGCAATGCCAGAACCTACGGCAATGTTGGGCCCTGCTCCTCTTCCAGTAGTCCTGCTGCTCCCTGTTGGCTAAGATGCTGAATCTCTAAACTCACCACTCTTCCTCTCAAATTCTAAAATCTTATGTATCTCAGATCACTTCTCATTCTATGTTCCTCTTCTCTAAAACACTATTCTCCAATTCTGTTACCTAGTTCCTGATTAGGTGAACCACAAATTCAAGATTTCTTTCTCTGATTTTAAGTTCCATTTTCTGTTAAAATACCAAATTCTGGGGGCTTCCTGGGTCTCTCCACAGCTAGCACACAAGACCTGCATATCCAAAGATCATGAGTGTCATCTTTTTTTCATGGTCAGGAAGAGCATGAGGGTCCCATCTATAGATGAGGTGGTCATGGCAAAAACAAACAGGGTAGCTGATGCCGGCGTGTTCTTGGTGTAAGGGGTGGTGCTGGCCCAGTACATATTCACCCTGAAGAGGAGGATGGTGCAGAAAGCCAAGATCCCTGAGATTCCTGTATCCAAGTCCTGCTTGCCACCCATGCCATTATTCCAGGACAAAATCAGAGACAGAAGAACTCAGAATGTCTTAAGGAAGATTGGGTAACTGAGACAAGTCTCCGTAAATGTACATGTAGAAATGATGCCCAAATTCCAGAGAAGTTCAGCTTACTCTATAAGAATAACAAAAATTATCTGTGGTTTTATCAGAAAAGGAGCTTTCAAACTTCAGATAACCATGGATTTTGGTATGACACTAAGTAGATTTTCCTACAAAATGAAAAGATGCCCAACATATCATAATAGTTACTGACCACTGTAAACTGTTTACAAAAGATGGTCAAGTTTTTCCAACTAAGGAAAAACACTATGTTGTCAAAATTGATTCTGTTTTTACCATGGGATGAAAATATCCCTTTGTGGTGGAAAGATGTGCTAAAGCACATAGTTTTCTTGTTGAATAAGCTTCACCCAATGCTAAATTTAAATAAATTATAGAAAAATCCAATGTTATGCTCCAGGAAGGATATAAAAATTTATTTGAGAAACTCTAGCAACACAGCGTCCTGATGTTAATATTTTCAGCTGATAATGGTGATGTATTCAACGAGGTTATCCATCAAGCTGGTGTTTATCATCCAAATGTCAAAGTAGTGTTTATTCAAGGATTTTGATGAAAATGGAGTCTCAAAAGATTTAAAGAATTAACTCATGTATTTAACAAACAGAATGGTGGTATGAAGAACGCAGAATACTTCAATCAATTAAAAGACATAAAAACATAATTCTGCTGAGAGACTCTCAAGGAGACTTAAGAATGGCAGATCAAGTAGCCAATATGGAGCACATTCTGAAAATTGGATATCTTTGGATAAAGTGGATAGGCTTTTAGAAAAATATTATGTTAATGAAAGAAGAATCTTTAGAAGTAGTAAAGTCTTTCTTACTGAGGATTCTATAAGTAAGTATTCTTCAGGAAGACCTCTTTCCTGTGGGAGCAATTGATATAAGAATGGCCCATCTCTTTGTCTTGTTGAAAGACTCTTACGTATAATACATTCTTGCTCTTGAAGTTTTTTTTTCTTTATAATACCGAAATATTTTCAGACATGTTGAATCCATCAACCGGAATCTCCTTTTTCTTCAACTCTCTCAATACACTCCCCACTATATTTTTTTTAACAGAATAAAGACAAATCTTAAAACCAAAACTAGAAAAATAACTCCCTGCTTTTCCAAAGTGGATTCTGTAGCTTAATTTTATCACACAGTTTCTGAGGAGTAGAAGTCTAAAAAGGAAAATTTTAAAAATGGCCAACTAATTTACAAAATTTTAGGTACTGCCATTTTTGTAATTTGGGTGGATCGTGCTGATGGTATGCCATCTCCTGAAATTGTGCTATGCTTGGTTATTTTGCCTGGGAAAATTAATATTGAGAAGAAAAGATTGGCATTCTATATTGGGTGAAAAAACTGTTGGTACCCACATGTAACTGATCATTTCGTATCTGGGCGCCTGCCTGGCTCAGTTGGTAAAACATGTAACTCTTGGTCTTGGGTTTGGAAGATCGAGCCCTGTGTTGGGTGTAGAGACGATCTAAAAATAAAATTTTAAAAATAATTTTCTGTATTTACCTGCTGATGAGATAAATATGAAATGGAAAAAAATTGAATACCCAATTCCCGCAAAGGGATAGCATTTGTTCAACTACTTATATCTTAGCATAAATTAATTTATCACATCCCTTCTTGCAAACAGACTTTGAAAATATAAAAAAATAAAGGTAGAGGCACCATGTTGGACAAAGTATCTTATAAGGTTATCCAGAACAAATTGCCTTCTTTGTAATTTTATCTAAATCCAGGCCTGGTCCCAATTTCTTTTTAATTAGTTGTTGTTCTTTGTTATTCAAATCCCCACCATTAAGGCTTAGCCTTTAAAAATTGGCTTTTGAAAAAACATTAGTCCATCATCTCTTGACCTTGGTATTCTATCTAGAACAGCACCAACAAAAAGTGGTCAAGATCACATGTTCAGGGTCAGATAATTATACTGAAAATAAGAACATCTCCCTGACCTAGTCAAATCAAAATTGCTGTGTGTAAAACTCCCCTTACCTCTGGGGTGACCCTAAGTCAATTAGCTATGACAAACTGTACTGTGAGCACGCCCTGGAAAGCATTGAGTTATACCAATCCTGAAGGGCCTGATAACATACCTTTGTCTGTAGCTGCAACTGCCATTGACATTTAGGGGAAAAACCAAGGAAAGAAAAGACTAAGGGTTTTTTGGTTTTTTGGGTTTTTTTTTTTTTAATGTTTGTTTTGGTTTGGTTTGGTTTTGCTTATTTGTTCTGGTCTTGACTCACGAGAAAGCACTTAACTTGGAAAATCATACATGCTAATGTTTTAAACAGAGGAGCATAATGTTTTTCTACTGATTGCAACTGCGTGTAACTATATCTATTTTACTTTATACTACATTATAAGCCTGTTATCAAATACAGAAATGCAGAGCCTGCCAAGAAGTGGAACTGTCTTGCCAGAGAGGGGGAACTAGACAAAATGAGTTGATAGATCTACTCCAAAAGCTATAGGTACTGCCTGAGTTTGCTACCAGCCACTCAAGGGAAAGGTTTGCTTCTGAATCCATCAAGATGACTCAGCACAGCAGCTAGTGAGGCCTGTGACCAGAAGGGTCTGAAAATTCACTGTTGACACAGTTCACTTGACATAGCCAAACAAGAATATCAACTTATCCACAAGTACACACTATTTTGTTCCCTCATGCATATCCTACCAAGGTCTTCAAAGTCCCTTTGGCACCTTTGCTTGACTAAAGGCCACCATAACACACCTGGGCTTTCATTCTCTCCCATGTATTGGATGGACACAAGAATAGTTACGACGCATTCTCTGTAGCTGGGAAAACCTCTCCTAGTATTATGTTTCTGTTCCTTCTTCCTGCTTCTAAGTAGCTATAATCAAAACCTTCCCTATTTGAGACATCAGAATCACAAGTTTTCCCTCAACTCCCACTTTATTTTGTGACATTCTAATGTGTGCTGCAGAATAATTCAGTGATTTTTCTTTATATATTCATTAATCTTTTTTCATTTTATTATTTTATTATAAATTATTAGATGCAATTAAAGGTCAAGAAGAGGCTATAAAATAACTAGTCTTATACAGATTGACTCTTCTTTCTTTAATTTTTTATTAACATATAATGTGTTATTAGCCCCAGGGGTACAGGTCTGTGAATCTCCAGGTTTACACACTTCATAGCACATCAGGTTGATTCTTCTAATATCTTCTTCCTTTAACAGCTTCATGGATGCCCAGTGAAACATATAGTTCATCCCCCTCAGGGGCAAATTCAACAAATCATGGTGAGTGACGGGGGGTGATTAGATTTAGGGTCGGGAAGGTGTTGGCAGAGGTGGAAAAACAAGAACTGGTAAGAAACCAATCTCAGACAGGTATAAAAAGTGCAACTTGATGATGAAAATGACAATGAATAGAACCAAAACTTCTCCCTGCCACAGTCACTCAAAGAAGCTAGTCAGAGACCAAGTCTTAGATTTTTTTTCTCTATTTTATTTCAAAATGAAATCTACAAAATAGCATTTCTTGGTTAATTAAATCCATTAAAATTGCATTTTAAATTTTAATTTTCCATTAGAAATTGAGATGATTTGTCAACATGGAATTGTCTACTAGAATGTTGCAAAGAGAGTTTTATTGACTTTATCAAACACATTACAGTGGGAGAAATGATATTTCATTGGGAGAATACAGAAAGGTCCCATTTTTCTATGGGTCCAACATAAGACATTTTCCTATAATCATGTAAATTTCTCATGGAGATTCTTTAGCAAATATGTATGCTGTACAGCTTCTCTTTTCCTCTTTAAACCTATAGAGAGTTTCACTTTTTTGGTAGTTGTTAGTTTCTAAGGTCCAAGTCTTGATATAAATTGGTCCTTAGTAAACTTTATACATAGTACTTAGGAGCATTTAGGCCATTAAAATTGAGCTCTTCCTTCACTAGTGAGATCCAATCATCATCTTACACCACTTGATTGGGTTGAGATGGCTGTTAGGATCAGTTCACATATTCCCTGTATATCCCTAGGTGGTGTCTTCACCAGCACAATCAGGACATTTTCAGAAGTTCCCACAACTACCAATGGATCTACTAAAAATATTCACATCCATATCACTGGTGAGTCATTTACTCTTTTCTCAATTTTGTGTTTTACTCACTCAACAAATATTTGTTGGGTACCTACCATTTGCCAGACACTGTACCAGTTGTTGGGTATACTCTGTGAAAGAAGTAGATCTTTCTTGTCTTGTATACAGAGAGACCTTGAAAACACTGACCTTCGGAAGATTATAATCTATTGAAGATGATATACATTAAGTAAAAAATCATATAATTAAATAAATTTGTGACAGATATACTGTGACATAATATAAGGTATTGTCAGAACATAACAGAAATACGTAATTTTAACTGGCAACAGGAAAGGATAAATATATCCTCTAAGGATATATTTAAATTAAAATCTGAAAAATGAATAAAAATTGGCCAGGCAAAAAGTGAGAAACATTTTATCCTATGAAAATATATCTGAGACAAGAAAGATTTTGGGGGGGCTCCTGGGTGGCTCAGTGGGTTAAAGCCTCTGCTTTGGCTCAGGTCATGATCCCAGCATCCTGGGATCGAGCCCCACATTGGGGGGGTCTCTGCTCAGCGGGGAGCCTGCTTCCCCCCTCCCTCTCTCTGCCTGCCTCTCTGCCTGATCTCTTGTGATCTCTGTCTGTCAAATAAATAAATAAAATCTTTAAAAAAAAGAAAGATTGTTGGAACAAAGAGTATTTCTGTAATTAAACTAATAAAATCTTATCAATACTGAATATAATTTCTTGTTTTATATATAAGATATCAAGATCTTCCCAACCCAGATCTTGATTGTAAGTGCAGAGGCATTGTCAACTCACTTCAGAGGGTATTCTCTTGACTGGTGAACACTCCACTTGAATTCTCAGCTTATTCTGTATCAGAGGTCATCCAGTCCTCAGATCATTGGAGCATCCTGCATACAACATCCCAGTAGAACAAACTGAAGTCCTACCCATGCGTTTCAGATATTGGTGCCTTAAAAAACTGCCTAGTTCAGAGATGGGGCAAGATGGAGCTCTGCTTCTCCACTGAGACATTCCTGAAGTCAGTGGTCTCATTTTCTGTGTGTGGTAGGGAGAAAAATTTTAAGCATTGGTTTAAAACCTTTTGTTCTTTTATTTCTCTGAAACTTTAGGGGTAAAATGTTATGTCCCACCATGTTACCAATGTAGAGCCTAGTAAATTTTGACTTGACTAAAACAGAACTTTGTGTATTCTTGTTAATCATCTGTATGATTGTTTCTTTTATGATCACGATACTCTAGTCTTTCACAGTTCTACTGCTACTGTGAAGTAGTGTGAACTAGTCACCTGCACATACAACATAGCATATGGTTATGTATTGCAGGACTACATGGGCTTCCAGAGTAACCTAAGCATCTGCTTAGACTAGGCTGAGGTTGGGTGAACATCAGGAAGAACCCAGGTCTCTGGATGTGTGTCATAAACATGACAACATCATATTGCTGCAGTCCAAACTATGTTAAACATAGAGAAGATTTGGTAACTAATATTTTGAATCCATCTCTTTTGGCCTATGTGTTTTGAGACTTTGCTTTATAAAAAGCACTATAATAAATATGAGGCAGTTAGAGAAATTAAAAACCTATTCTCCACCCACAAACAGTTCACAGTCTAGTTGAAACAATAAAAGAAAATGAATCCAAATCATTCTAATACAAAATCGACTTTTTGCCCAAATGATCTACATAATCTGAAGAGCTAAAGATCTATCCATACTGTATAAGGAATTTCACTGGGGTGTTGTTAGAAATAACAAAAGCCTGGAAACAGTTTAACCCTTGAACATCAAGAGACTGAGTAAATAAACCATGATACATCTATATTTTGGGGAACTAGCCACTCATTTAATCAAAGAAGGTAAAGATTTACCTTTATGCACTTTCATGGAAATTATTCCAAGAGTGTTTTTTTGAAATTTTTTATTTATTTTTTTTCAAGAGCATTTTTTTAAAGAAAGACACAAGGGACAGGACAATATGTATTGCCCTCATTTCTAAGAAAAAGAGATATATATTCATTATACATGTATATGTTTATATATGTGTATAAAATTTCTAGTGGGATACATAGTTAACTATTAAAAGTTACTGCCTCTAATATGGATAACTGGCATCTGAAGTCATAAAGACACTTCCTTTTTCATTATAGCTTTATATTTCTGTACTATTTGAATTTTTAACATGATTGTAAAATGCTCTTCAAAAAGGAAAATATTAAGTAACTGTGTAATTATAAACATTCCCTTTTATTCTCTGTAGTAGAATCAATCTTACTTCCTAAGAGAGTTAATTTTCTTAATTCTTCCTTCATGTTAGAAAAAAGGTAAAACAATCCAGAATATGATATTTACACTACCTCTGGTCTAAATCAACAATACTGGAAAGTCTTTGATTCACACAGTCTGACTTGGTGTATAAATGCTAGCAATGCAATGAATGAATTGAGTGCGGATATAATCAGGGGTAAGAAAAACCAGTCTGCTTATCACCCACCAATATAATTCCCGCCAGACCTTTACTTTGGACTTCCTCCCTTTGCAGACCATAGAAAGAGCAAAATAACTGATTTTAGTTTTACCCCTTTTGTCACTTCTCTCCTTTCTATTGCCAAAATGCATAGAAGGAGAGAGAAAGGAAAAGAAGGGAGGTGGTAGAAAGGATTAGAAAATCTCTATTCTGGACACTGTTTCCTGCGTGACATCCAAATGAAAAGTCTTGGATGATGATCTTTTGAGCACTACAACTCGATGCGTACTAACCAGGCCTTCTCAGTTTGGGATTTTCGGGGCATCAGAATGTTATGACGTTATAATGCTTTTTTCCTCCTCCTAATACATTAATATTCCATAAACCATATAATGACTCCTTAAAGAATAAGCAAAGCCAAAGCTAGGCCATTATTTCACATATAAAGTTTCCTTTACTGGAGTAAATTTGGAATACAGATTTAGAGCTTATCCCTCTTATTTTTCATTTTTACAAATTCATTGCCCATCATGTGCCAGGAATTGTCCAAGGCCTTGGGAAAAAGAAAGAAAAAAAAAAGATTCATTCTGGAACATTATAACAAGAAAGACATTCACATAAATAGTAACTGCAGATGTGCAAAAACAGAAGTGAGAACAAGGCATAGATATGATCCCAGAGCATGATTGTGGTCAGTGAGGGCCATTGGAGAAAACAGGTAGGAGAGAGGGTTCAAGTCATGCTGCTTTGAAATTGCCAAAGTTTGGCATGAAAGTTCATCTCTCGTTATGTCCTTTGCAGGTATTGTGGTCAATAAACCTAAAGATGGAATGTCCTGGCCAGTGATTGTAGCAGCTTTGCTCTCTTTTTGCGTAGCGCTGTTTGGTCTCGGAGTGAGAAGGTGGTGCCAATACCAGAAGGAAATGTGAGTATAATCCTGAATTTGCAGGAACAGAGATAGTTTTTCAGCACAACATATTCGCTCAGCTCTGTTTTTGTTTTTGTTTTTTAAGATTTTATTTCTTTATTTGACAGAGAGAGAGAGAGCACAAGTAGGCAGAGTGGCAGGCAGAGGGAGAGGGAGAAGCAGGCTCCCCGCTGAGCAGGGAGACCGATGCGGGACTCAATCCCTCCCGCAATCGTAGGACCCTGGGATCATGACCTGAGCTGAAGGCAGACGCTTAATCAACTGAGTCACCCAGGTGTCCCTCACTCAGCACTTTAAATATCACTCGTATATGGCATTCTCATATAGAATTGAGGAAAAGAGTCTCAGAGAAGCTCAGAGAAGCTCCCCAGCTTGCCCAGCACCACCTAGCTGGGATGAGTTGTGCAACTTCTGCCTTGGTGTCCCCTTCTCCCTGCTCAGTCAGTGACACTCGTCAGATGGAGCAAGTCAGTGGGCATGAAATGAGAATGGAGCCTTGCCTCACCTCAAACACTAAAACTGATTTTTCTTTTAATCTTCATTACTTTTTCATTTTCATGCATCTCTGAGCTGCCTGGGCCCAGCTGGGCCCAGATGCTCAAGTGTGAAATTGAGTGAGAAACGTAATTTTAAGAAACCCCAGCTGCTTTCAGCAGAATGGGCTTTTACCATCCTTTTTCTTTTTCCCCAAGGACAAAAGAAAGTAAACAGTGCGTTACCCCTCTTTTGTCTTATTGAAATATCTTCCAAGAATCTTTTCCCTCCACTCTGCCATCTGAAATGACATGTCAGATTAAGCCTCACTTTTCTGACTTGGCTCTTTTGGATCCAGAGTAGACCATGATTGGAGGAGACCCCTACAACATACAGAGATGTTCTCCCACTCCTACTGCTACTGTCTAAAATGCCAATGACCACTGTGTGGTACCTTCTACTTAAACTGTCCTTGAAGACTCTATATCCATGTGCGGCAAGAGTTTCCTGGTGAAAAACAAAACACTAAACCAGTAGTCAGAAATTCTGGACTCTTGTCCAAGGACTACACTTTGGCTACCATATGACCTTGAGGACTTCCTAATTTCCCTGAAACAACAGAAGTGCAAATTTCTTAGAATTTTATCTACCTGTTGAAATATATTATCTGCATCAAAGCATCAGAAAAAACAGATAATAGGCATTAGATATTTTTATTAAAAGAAGAAAGCGGGAATCTGAAATTTCGAATTGATTCTTTTTATTCTGTAATCCAATATTTGTGTCATATAGAGATGAGAATCTCTCTCTCTCTCTCTCTCTCTCTCTGTCCTTCTCCATGTCCATGTCCATCTCTATCTCTATACCACAGCAAGAGGTTACAGATTTGAGTCAAGGACAAAAATCTGTCCACAGATGAATTTCTGTGTCTTGATTATCAAGAGAGCTGGAGAATTTGTACAGCTAAATCCCAAATTCAGATGTATGCCTAATGCATTTCAGACAAAGAGTTGTGCTAACATACAACAGTACTTTTGATATAAAGATGACTTTAAGAATGTTCACTGATTCAAATGTAAGGGATTCTGACATTAACCGCCCACTATCAACCAATACAAGGATTCCGTAGAGCCTTTCTTCCCATCTCAGCCCTATCCTCACAGTGCACAGTGACTGTGTGGGTGAAGGTGGGGGTAAGGTTGGCAAAGGGATTATTTGAAAACCTTCAGTCGTTAGTCCCAGAATTTAAAGATTTTGTCTCTGGAGGAGTATTTTAATCCACATAAGAGAAACACTTCTTCTATTAGGAGACAGTTTCCATGGAGAATATGGGTTCTGGTCAAAAGACCAGAATCGCTTGTCTGGTTCTCTTTACCAAGTTGCTGAAGACCTCTCAGTCTCCTCAGTAGAATGATGACAATAATATCCAATCCCTAGATGCAAATTAAATAATGTTATGATAAAAATGCTTCGCAAACTATATAATACCTATAAATATTAATGCTATTTTAACGTGGCTAATAAACAGAAGGAAAAATTCTGAGGGAACTGGTGGGGATGTCTCTTTCTCTGTGTCCTATTTTCCTATATCCTTGAATCACCACCTCACATTCCTAGCGTTGAAAGAGCAATGTTTTGTTCCTAGCATGGAAAGACCCCCGCCTTTCAAGCCACCTCCACCTCCCATCAAGTACACTTGCATTCAAGAGTCCACGGGAAATGATCTGCCTTGTCATGAGATGGAGACGCTCTAAGAGCCGCTTGAGACTTGCCACATAGAACTCTGCTAGAATCCTGCGAGAAACTGGATATTGTGCTTTATTAACATAATTGTCCTCTAGCCGAGCCTTTACTGCAGCTGCAGTGGATGTCAGAAGTGAGTGACCTGTTTTCCCAGCAACTCAGCCCCTTTCATCTGCATGCCTGAAACTGAGCAAGAATGAGGCGAAGTCATGCTCATACCCCATGCGATCTGTAGGAATGTTCTTGCTTATGTAAGAAGTGCAAATGAGGCTGCTGTTATTAAAAAAGTACTTGCAGTGTTTTTATTTTTCATTTTAGTTCACTGACTGAGGTGACGACAGTGGTTTCAAGCATATGTCCATGCCAGATCCTCTTCCATTTGGGCATCTGCCAACATTCTGAACTATTTGCCAAAAGTATGATCATCCCTGAGGTTTGTTGCATTCCCTAGGAAAATTACAAAAAGAAGAAAATGTGAAAGTTCTAGAAAGAGTTCCAAATAAGTGCAAGTAGTCCTCGTACGGAAAATATTTTGTTTATTTTCACTAGAGGAAATCGTAATACCTTGCACAAGATGCCAGTCCCCGTCCCCCTTCCTCCCACCATGTTCTGCCCAGCCTCCTGCCCCATAGATTGAGGAGGGATCAAAAGGAAACCTGGCCAGCAACCAAGTAGCCTCGTAGATATAGGGAACACTTCATTGGCCTCTAAAATGATATGAACTAAGAGTGGTCTGGTCTCATCCTCAGCTTTACCTGTGTGTGTGTGTGTGTGTGTGTGTGCACTTGCACACGTGTGCGTGCGTGTGTTTGTGCGTGCATAGGTACGTCAAACTATTACATGAGTAAACAGGCACCCTAACCCCAATCCAATTTCTGCAAATCCTATTATTCTCATTTTCTTCTGGGAACTCTCCTGTTCATCCAGTCTGCATGTTTTTATCTGTCTTGAGATAAATGCAGGCTCAAATCATACTAGCGTTGTTGAATTAATCCTGTTCCTACCACTCTTTTATAAAATAGTTCAGATAGAACATATAGGTAATGGAAAAGAAACCTAGTTAGCCACACCTGTTCTGTATTCAACAAGAGTTCCTGAGTGAGTAAATTACTGATGCTCCTTGTTCTTCTAAACCACCCAAACACCCTACCCTCGGAAGGAGCAACAGATGTTGCTATCAGATATGACAGGCAAATGCTGTGTGGACTTTAGTCTCAAAAGGAACATTTAGTTCATTTGCAGTGTACTTATCCCTGACCGCATGTGAGAATAACTTGGAGAGTTTTTTTTAAACACCAGAGCTGTCCCACTCCAAAACAATAAAATCAGAATCCCTGTGGAGTGAGGCTGAGGCGTTAGCACTTCCGGGTGATTTGAGAGTTCAGCCAAAGTTGAGAACTGCTGACCAGTCAAGGTCCCTTCTCATTAATCAGAATCTTCGTTAGGTACTTATTTTTGGTGGTGACCAGCCTCTAATGTGTCCGTCATGATTCTTGCCTCTTATATAGTCCCCACTGATACCGAATGCAACTAACTTGTATAGCTGGCCAAGACTAGGATAAGGCAAAGAAGACAACTATGGTATAATATTTAAGGAGATATTCAAAACCAGGGTCATGTACTTGTACAATCTTGCGAGTACCGGTTGCTGGCCCAGTATAACCAATAAGATATGCAGAAGTCAGCAGAGTGTGACTTCCAAGGCTAGGTCATAGGATACATGGTAGCTTCTGCATTGATCTCTCTTTGATCGGTCTCTCTGGAAAAAGCTGGTTGCCATGATGTGAGGACACTCAAGCAGCCCTGTGGAGAGGGACTCTTGTCAAGGAACAAAATCCTATTGCTAACAAGTATCAACTAGCCAGCCATATGAGTGAGTCATCTTGGAAGCATGTCCTCCAGTCCCCACTCAAGCCTTTGGTTAACTGCACCTCAGCTGATCTTTTGACTGGGACCTCATGAGAGCCAGAACCACTCAGCTAACCTCTTCTGGTTTCCGGACCCACAGACACTGTGCGGGATAATAAATACTCATTATTTAACACCACTATCTTTAGGTATAACATGTTACACAGTAATAGATAACTAATACAGCCCAATGAATGGAAAAAATAAACTAATATTTGCCTGCCTTAATTACCCTCCATTCCTCATTAATTCTTGAGAAATAAATAAGACTAGCTTCATATGTGCCTTTGTCAAGAATAGTCGCTTTTTTTTTTTTTTTTTTGGATCCAGCAGAAGTTTTATTTTAACTGAAGAACATATGGTTGGCTTGACCAAATTAACTTTGCATATTAGGTCTTTAAAAACATTAACATTTTGCCAGGATGGGCATTAGAGGTCCTATTACAAAAATGGAATTAAGACACTATGTGAATGTGAGTTGTCCAACATCACATAATCAGAAGGGATAGAGCCAGAATGATGGAAACCCATCTCTGATTTCCAGTCCATGGTGTGATCAATCTCCATTATATCATAATATTTCATTGCTTTGGTGTCTCTTTTTACTATAGACAAGAGATGTTTTGTGTACATTTAGGTAAATATTGATTTTTTTTTAATGCCCAAATTGTTGACAGAAAACAAAGAAAAGTAGAAATAATTGACCCCTGAGGGTAGAATAGCCAAGAAAGTGTGGGGAAAAAAAAAAGACTAAGAAAAAGTAAAAAGAGTAATCAAGACCAGACACCAAAAGAAGTTTAGAGAATCTGACCAAGGCCAGAGATCCTGAAAGAGCATTGTCTCAGAAACTCAGAGCCAGCAAGAGGTTCTTGAAGGCAGCCCTCTAGGTGAGTTGGCTTTGACTTGCACTTGAAGATTGAATCTGCAGAAATACAGAAATTTTGTTCCCTGAGTTTTGATAACAGCAGTCATGGCTATGTCGACCGCCCAAAGCTTGAGTGTCCAGCAGAGACAGCTGAAATGGTGAGTGAAAGTTACCCCCGTGGGAGAAAAAGACATTAACTGGAGAAATGGGCTGATGTTGCAAGAAGAAACACAAGATGAGATGGTGAGAGAAGGGCATTTTATTTCCCAGCTTCTGCAAAGGGGCTTTCTTCCCTGGATTCTGTGATTACTTACAAGGCGGCATTCTGCAGCCAGGAAGCCATGACCAGAGAGAGCAGGAGATTATGACCTTGGGCAAGATCAGGGACAGAGAACACCTTTGAAATGATTGAATACAATTTTTTTCCCCAACCGGCATCTCTATAGTCTTCTAACTTCTATTACATTCTTTGCCTTGTCTGCTCACTCAGATTCCTCATGTCTGCTCAAAGGCTCTGTGAGATTGTGATTATATGGTGGCACACTGGGGAAATTAAAGGATATGAGTAACATACCCAAGATCACAACATAAAGAAGAGAACATGGAGGTGCCTGGGTGACTCAGTCAGTTAAGCTGCTGCCTTCAGCTCAGATCATGATCCCAGGCTCCTAGGATGGAGCCCCACATTGGGCTACCTGCTCAGTGGGGAGTCTGCTTCTCCCTCTGCTCCCCAGCCCCCTGCTCACTCTTTCTCAAATAGATAAATAAAATCTTAAAAAAAAAAAAGCTGATCTAAAAAATATCTAAGAACCACACCCTCCATACCCTCCGTGAGTGTAGAGTTTAATGGGAGAGATAGCATTTAAACAAATAAATACATGTGAAAATAAAAGTATGTATAAAGAAGAGGAATGAATAAAGAAAAGGGTATCATTTCAGAGACAGAATGTAAGAAATATTTTCAGAAGCCTTCAGAAAGGAGCCGTCAAAGAGACAAAGGCACTGAGACATAGTAACCCGACTTGAAAATCTTACCTAAGAATTATGCATACCCAGAACACAAGAAGGGTTCAATAACAGAAAATCTCTTAATATTTTGCCATATAATTAGGGCTTAGGAGGGAAAGCATACGATTAATCTTAAAAGATGAAGATGCTTAAAAGGTCTTTGGCAAAATCCAGTGCCCATTCCTAATAAAAACTCTTGAGAAAATGGTATATTGTCTTAACTACATGTTTATACATAATATGTGTATGCATATATGTATCTATTTATATATAACACATATACATACACTAGTGTAGTATACAGATATTATAACTAGTTATATATATATACATATACTATAGTACATACACACACATATATATATGTGCTGTAATATACACTATAGTCATCATACATACATGCTGTAACTATTCCTACAAATATAACTTTACAAATATATGTGTCCAGGGACACCTGGGTGGCTCAGTAGGTTAAGCACCTGCCTTCGCCTCAGGAGTTCAGATCATGATCTCAGGGCTCTGGGATCAAGTCCTGCTTTGGACTCCTTGCTCAGCAGGGAGCCTGCTTCTCCCTCTGCCTGCAGCTTCCCCTGCCTGCTGCTCCCCCTGTTTGTGCACAATCACTCTCTCTCTGACAAATAAATAAAATCTCTCTCTCTCTCTCTCTATATATATATATATATGTGTGTGTGTGTGTGTGTGTGTGTGTGTGAGTGTGTGTGTGTCCAGATACAATGAAAGCAAAGATGGATACATTTGACTACTTAAAAATAAAAGCAATTTGCATGGCAAGAAAGCAAAGTCAAAGGCAAATGATAAACTTACAAAGAGGATAAATAAGCTTTCAAAACCTATGGAGGGGGACCTGGGTGGCTCAGTCAGTTAAGTGTCTGCCTTCAGCTCAAGTCATAATCCTAGGGTCCTAGGATCCAGCCCCACCTCACGCTCCCTGCTCAGTGGGGAGCCTGCTTCTCCCTCTATCTGCTGCTCCCCCGGCTTGTGAGCACGCACTCTCTCTCTCTCTGGCAAATAAACAAAATCTCATAAAAAATAAAAATAAAGGGCGCCTGGGTGGCTCAGTGGGTTAAGCCGCTGCCTTCAGCTCAGGTCGTGATCTCAGGGTCCTGGGATCGAGTCCCGCATCGGGCTCTCTGCTCAGCGGGGAGCCTGCTTCCCTCTCTCTCTCTCTCTCTCTCTGCCTGCCTCTCTGTCTACTTGTGATCTCTCTCTCTGTGTCAAATAAATAAATAAAAAATCTTTAAAAAATAAATAAATAAAAATAAAAATAAAAAAATAACTCTTAAAACACTTGAAAAAAATTCAATCAATAATATTAAAAGAAATGCACATTAAAACTTCACTAAGACGGGGCGCCTGGGTGGCTCAGTGGGTTAAAGCCTCTGTCTTTGGCTCAGGTCGTGATCGCAGCGTCCTGGGATCGAGCCCCGCATCGGGCTCTCTGCTCAGCAGGGAGCCTGCTTCCTACTCTCTCTCTCTCTGCCTGCC